TGCTCACCCACAGCTCCAGGAACGTCCCTGCATTGCATCCCTCTGGTCCTCAATGGAGGAAGGATGGGGCCCATGGCACAGGGCCCTCCTACACTCTCTGCCTGCTGCCTTCTTACCCTGCTGTCAGATCCTTCACACTTCAAGTCCCACTCTGGTCTCTTGCTTTCAGAACTAGGTATTCAAGTCAGTGCAGAAGGGGCTGAGCGCACAGTGCCATTCCGGGTTGGGACCAGGAGGCAGGCTGAAGAATTTGGCATTTTGGAGCCTGGGGCCACAAGATAAGATAAGATTACAGAGGTACAGGCCCATGCCAGAGAGCAGAGTATCATGATCTGAGCCAGGGGAACAAGAATTTGCACTCTGCCTTTGTTTTGAGCACTGATGGGTCACTGAGTGCCGACACGGGCTGATTGCTGATATTGTCCACTGTCCCTCCTTGAAGATGCTCAGAAGTCACCTGGACACGGAGTTGGGCAATGGGCTCTTGGTGACTCTGCTTGGGTAGCAGAGTTTGCACCAGATGATCTACAGAGATATCTGCCAATAACAACTCTTCTCTGATTCTGCTGCTCTGATATGACCTACAAGGGAAGGAAATATGCCCTTCCAATGAGTCTCTTCTGTGCATGCTTCTCCTTCCCTTCCCCACAGGCATTCCTTCCATTGCTGAAGAAGGCAGCCCAGGGGAGCCCAGGCTCAGGGATGAGCTGCAGCAAGGCAGCCATTGTCAACATTTCCAGCATCGGGGGTTCAATCAAAGAAGTGTATTTATGGGAAGCCATACAAGCTGTCTGTTATCGCTGCAGCAAGGTATGTGCTGTGATCATTCTCCTCTGTGTAAATGACTTCAGGACCCTTCGAGTACATCATCTCTGACCATGTCAGCATCTCTCTGCTGTGGCTCAGCTCCTGACTGTTCTTACACCTCTCTCACAGCACATTGCCCAGTTCACACCTGATCCCTGTGCTGTCTCCCCCAGGCTGCTCAGAACATGCTCACCAGGTGCCAGTCCATGGGGTACCGAGAACACGGCATCCTCTGCATTGCTTTCCATCCCGGATGGGTGCAAACAGACATGGGGAATGCGGCTGGAGCCACGGTAGGAGCTTCCCCACGTTGGGTCCATCCACAGCCCGTGCTGGTTTCCCATGGGAGGCCGCTGTCTCCCAGAGCCCTGCCCCAAGACCCCCTCAGGGGGCTGCTCCGTCAGCACCATGGCAGCTCTCCCTGCCCTGGGACCCCTGCGCAGCGCCAGCCCTGGCTCCTGGCAGCCCCACCGCCCGCCTTCCCAGCTCTCAGCCTCCTCCCAGGGCTCTGCTTCTCCCTCGGCCCAGCCGCTGCCTTCCTGCAGCCAGGCTCCAGGCCACAGCCTGGGCAGCCTTGGGACACATGCCTGTGTTTCTGCCTCTGCCCTGCAGCCCCCGCTGACAGTGGATGACAGCGTAGGAGGGATGCTGAAGGTGCTCTCCAAGCTCTCTGAGAAGGACAGCGGGACCTTCCTGGACTGGGAAGGGAACGTTGTGGCCTGGTGAGGTGCTGGCCTGACCTCGTGCCTGGATCCTGGCAGTGGCCCCTCTGCTGCTGCCCGACCTCTGCTACATCCTCAATAAACCCATGTCTGAAAACAGCAATGCTCTTGGCTTCATCTCTATCCACAACAGGCTCTATCGCTCCATGCTTGCAGCCCATGTAGGGCAGCCTCTTCCCACGGGTGTTCTACTCCTCATCTTCGTGCATCAGCATCCTCTGCTCCCAACCACAGTCACTTTCTGGAGTCCCAATAAGAGTCAGCTATCACTGCTGGAAATGTTCCCTGCGGGATGGAAAGTGACTGCCCATCTCTGAGGTGTTGTGATGCCCGGGTCAGGGAACATGAAGGGCAAACTGGGTAAATCGCATCTCTCCAGGATGTGTTCCCCATGCGGCCAGGTGTTTGGGGTCATAGAGTGAGTTGGAGTTAGCTTACAGGACACGGCACAGACACAAATGGAGCAGAGAATGGGATGCTGCTGCTGCTTGTGTCCATTGGCAGTCAGAGGTGACAAGGGGCGGCTGAGCTGGCAGCACCTGGGCACTCAGTTCCTCTCCCAGTTGAGGGTGGCATCTGAGGTCTCCTGTGACAGGCTGCCCAGCGCCACCAAAAAGCCCTGCATGCTGCTGGGTGCATGTGGGCCAAAGGGGAACGATTTTCAGCCAGAAAGGCTGGGGAAGTGGGAAATGGGGCTTTGCCCTGAAGAAAACGTGGGCATGGCCCTCACTTGTATTCTGAGTGCTCAACATCGCATGTCAGACAGCATCCCGGTATTTTCCTCGTCCCATTTCCATGGTCCATTGTATGGGAACTGCTGAGTCGCGGCCTGAACCTCTGTTTAGTCACCTGAGGCGAGCAATGAGGCAGCCCTGGGAGCACAGGTGAAAGCAATTCACCTGTGCTGCAGGAAGGGGTGGAGCCTGGCTGCACCTCTCCTAGACCCATTCAAGAGCTGACTACCAGTGGGGAAGGGTCTCTCTCTCTTTGGAAGATCCACTCCACTGGAGTTTCCTGAGCGAGCCCACGACTTGGGTAAGCATCCTATTTATTCTCTTTGTCTCGCTGTGCCTAACTCTCTTGCTTATTTCTTTATTATAACATCTTAATATTATTAAATTATATAATATTCCTTTATATAATTTTCATTGATTATACATCCATACACATCCTTTTCTCTCAGTCTGATCAGCAAGTCCTTGCCCCACCCTGCTGGTTTTCTCCTTCCTCTGCTTGTTTTCCTGCGCTGGGGAACAGAGAGCTCTTCTGCTCTTTGGAAATTGGTCCTGAAGACTTGCCAGTTTTCAGCCACTCTTTTGCCTGTAAGGTCATCATCCTATGGGATCTCACCCAGTAATTCTTTAAATAGCCCAAACTTTGCTCTCATGACGTTCAGGGTCCTGACTCTGCTTTCTGCGAGGCCCATCCTCCTCTAGATCACAAACTCTCGCAGGAAGCATGGCCACTACAGTCCAGAGCAGCTCCCATCTTAACCACCTTAATGAGCTCCTGTGTGTTGGTGACAACCACATCCCGAAATGGTTCTCCTCTGGTTGGTTTGCCTAAGACCTGGGCCAGGAAGGTACCCTCAACACACTCCAGGAGTCTTTGGGATTTTTGGTATCCTGCCCTGTTGCTCTCCCAGCAGATGTCTGAGTGGCTGAAATCCTCCACCAGCTTGCCCCAATCAGTCAATTTGTAGTAGATCCTGACCACTAGATGTCCTTTATTTTCTGGTCCCTGTTTTTCACCCACAAGCTCACAACTTGATGGTGGCTGTTCCTCAGAGGCAGCTCTTCACACGCTATCAACCCACTAACACAGAGGGCAATTCCCTCACCTTTCTCTCCTGCCTATCTCTTCTGAAAAACTTGTAGCCCTCAGTCGTTGTGCTCCAGCCATGTGATTCATACCACATCTGTGACCACAGCTGGGTTATACTTTTCTAATTGCATCATGGCTTCCAAGTTCTCCTGCTTATCACCAAGGCTGCATGCTTCAGAGGTGTGAAGGCACTTTAGACAGGCTATTGGAACATTACCTTCTAGGAACAGTGCTCACAAGATCCTGTGAGACGAATCAGAGGATTTTTCCCCGCTTGTCCTATAATGACAGCATTTCCTGGGCCTTTTCTGTTGCATACAAGTCCATCCCCTACCCCCATCAAATGCAGTTTAAATATTGGGCAGTCAATCCAGACAGCTTGCTTCCCAGAACACCTCAGCTCCATGTGCTCAGTTCTGTTCCACCTGCTGTGCACAAACCATGACTCTCAAAGGCCTCTCATGATCATACAATCCAAAGCAATGACCAGGAGACCATCCACACAGCCAGTCACTTACCTGACCCATTCTGCTCCTTCTTTCCAGGTCCCAGCTGCCGAATGGGAGTAGAGAGGTGAACACTACTTGCATTCTTGATTACCTCAAGGTCTTTCGAAGAGATGTAAAGACTCTTCCAGCATTTGCCAGTCTCACTGCCGTACCTCTTGAGAACCACAAGGATCCTTGCACTACAGACCCTGCCATAGACTGCTGAAAATGGCACCTCTGCTTTCTCACTGGCCCACCAAGCAGTGCCACAGGAAGGCATGTCTCTTGTCATGGTGTCCATGGTTGCTTTCTCCATTCTGTGCCATGGTGTATTCGTGTTCCTGGCTTCCCCGTTTGCCTTAGTTTCCAATTATCAAGGTGCTCCATGAAGCATACTCTAACTTCTCTCACTCTCACTTGCCTTCACCCATATGCATAATTAAATAAATTGGGTCCACATGAACACTTCCCTGCACATTTTAAGGCCACATTTTGTTTGTGTTTCTGTACATTCTTTACGGCTGCCTCTCCATATCCTGTGTGGGACAGGAAAAAGGGTCTGGACCAGGTGCTATTTCTCCAGATACACACTCACCATCCAAACACCTAACCAACAGTTTGCCTTAAAAAGCAAAGTCATTTTTGCTCTTAGTAAGGCTGGCTCCCAGCCAGGAATTGTCTCCATGTCATTTCAAAGAGCTGGAGAGATTATACAGAGAACACAGGTCTGTACAAGCCCTCATGGGTGGGGTGGAAGTTCAGCATGCTATAAGAAGCATTTGGGCACCCAACAAACAACATATACGAGAGGAGAAGCAGGAGAAGCAACATGGGAGAGCTGCGTGTCCGCTCCGTTCTGGTGACTGGGGCCAACCGGGGAAT